AGTGCCCTCCGTGTCTTTTCATGAATTAAGACCCCATTTCTTTTTAGCAGTGAATAATACTCTAGTGTCCAGGTGTACCACAGCTTATTTATTATTGAGATACATCTTGGTTATTTCCAAGTTTTAGCAATTATGTACAATGCTGCTCTAAATATCTGTGTGCAGATTTTGGAGTAGATAGAAATGTGAACTCTTTCAAGTAAATACCAGAGACTGATTGCTAGATCATGTGGTAAGTGTAGAACTTCTAGTACTATAGTATTGAAAGTGAGTCTTGGGAGAGCACATATTTGCTTTGTTTCTGATCTTACTGACAAAGCTTCTGATGTATCACCATTAAGTAAAATGTTATCTGTAAGTGTTCTGTAGATATTCTTTATAAAGCTGAAGCTTACTTCTATTCCTAGTTATGGACAGTTTTTATCATGAATGGCTGTTGTATTTTGTCAAAAACTTTCTCTGTGTCTTCCGTGATATGATCATATAATTCTTTAGTATGTTGATGTGATGTTACATTAATGAATTTTTGAACATTGAATCAGTCTTACATAACTGGAATAAACCCTATTTGATTGTAGTATAATTCTTTTTATACATTGCTGGATTTAATTGGCTAATTTCTGTTAAGAATTTTTACATTCATATTTATGGGATATGTAGGTATGTAGTTTTTTCTCATAATGACTTTGTCATTATGTTATTAAGGAGATGCTGGCCTCGTAGAATGAATTAGGAAGAACACTCATAGAATGAATTGGGAAGAATGCTTCTATTTTCTGAAAGAGATTTTAGAAGTGGTATAATTTCTTCTTTAAATGTTTGGAAGAATTTACCAGTGAATGCATCTGAACCTGACACGTTCTGCTTTGGGAGGTTGGGAATTATTGATTCAATTTTCTTAATAGATAGAAGTTCATTCAGGTTGTCTATTTCTTGTGTGAGTTTTGGCAGATTGTGTCTTTCAAGGTCCATTCAAATTTGTGGACATGAAGTTGTTCATAGTATCCCTTTATTATCCTTTTAATGTCCAAGGGGGTCTAGGTTAATGTTTGTATTTCATTTTCACAAAGACAGCAGTTTGTGCTGTTTCCCCTATGCATCTTATTTAGCCTAGCTAGAGGAATATGATATCAATTTTATTTATCTTTTCAAGTAACTTTTTAATCTATCTTTTCAGCTCTTGATTCCATTGATGTTCTCTATTGATTTCCTGTTTTCAGTTTTATTATTGTTTCTTTTCTCTTTCTACTTTTGTTTTACTTTTTTCTAGATTCCTAAGGCAGAAACACAGGTTATTGATTTTGTAACTTTCTTTTTCTTAATGTATGCATTCAGGGATATATACATTTCCCTATAGACATTATTTTTTGCTGAATCTTACACATTTTGATAAGTTTGCTATATTTTCATTTTCATTTAGCTCCAAATACTTTTTAAATTCCAAAGATTCCATCTTTGACCCATATGTTATTTAGAACTGTATGGCTTAATAGCCATATATTTTGGAACTTTCTATTTACTTTCTGTTATTGATTTCTATTTAAATTCTACTGTGACCTGAGAGGAGTTATTATATGATTTTTATTATTTTAAATTTGCTAAGATGTGTTTTAAGGCCTAGAATGAGGTCTGTGGTGGATCAACCAATGGTCAACTGGAACGCCCAGCTGAACTGAATCAGTGTGGTCTGGGCGTGGAAGACTCACCTGAGGATTGTTTCCAACAGCCATAAAAAGAGAAATGGAGAAGAAGATCATTGGCTGTTGACTGCTTGCTGCAGATGATTTTCCTGAAGTGAACTTGGCTGTTCTTGGAGGAGGAGCTCAGGGCCTCACTGTCACTGGGAAGGGCTGCTGTTCTCCTCAGGGGAGCTCTGATCTTCACAGCGAGCATCACTTCCTGGCTCCAGTGTGGATCCCTCAGTCTGGTGGCACAAATCCTTCATCCCACTGGTGTAGGTTTTCTGGCTTCCACCACTGCCCTTTGGGCCTTCCCAGTGAAGATCCTTGATACAGACAAGCATGAGACACTGCTGTGGGCTCCAGGCCACTGGCTGGACTCATGGAGGACATTGCCTTGGACTCTAGGACTTCAGCTGGTCTTGTGTAGAACATTTCTGTGGGCTCCAGACCCTTGGATGGATTCTTTGGGTCTCTAGTGTGTGGCTAATCTCTTGCATTCTTCTGCATTTCACTTTTTGGGTGACTATTATAAAATGATCCTATAAAGTATGTGTCCTGTATTAAATCTATTTCCCTTGCAAATCCTGACTACAACAAGGTCTATCTTGGGATGTTTCAGACAACCTTCAGAAGCATGTGCATCCTATTGTTGGATAAAGTAGTCTCAGATGTCAATGATAGCCAGTTGTGTGTGTTGTTCAACTAGGTTCTTACTGACTTTCTGCTTACTGGATCTCCCAGTTTTTGACTGAGGAGTGTTAAAGTCTCCAGCTATAACAATGGATTGATCTATTTCTCCTGCAGTTCTGTGATTTTATGCCTCACAGAGAATGAAGCTCTGTTTTGAGACTCATACATGTGAAGGACTGTTATATCTTCTTAGAGAACTGATCTCTTTATTGTTACATAATGGCCCTTTATATCCCTGAGAACTTTCCTTCTTTAGAAATCAGTGCTGTCTTTAATTAGAACAGCTGTTTCCACTTTCCTTTGGTCAGTATAGGCATGGTATAGATTTTTCTATTCATTTACTTTTACTCTCTATGAGTCTTTATATTTAAAATGGTTGCTTGTAGACAACATGTGGTTGGATCTTGGTTTGTGATCCAGTATGACAATCTGTCTTTCAAGTAGTGTATTTAGACTATTGGTGATTGATATGATTAATTGCATTGCTGGATTAATATCTACCATGTTTGTTACTATTTTCTATTTCTTGCCTTTGTTCTATGTTTCTGTTTTTATCTTATACACTTTTTCTGCCTTCTGTTGTTTTGACTGATTACTTTGTAGCACTGTATTTCTTTTATATCCTAGCCTATATTACATTTCTTTTAAAATGTTTTAAAAGTGGTTGTTCTTAGAGTTTTCAATATATGTGTATAACTAATCCTAGTGTATTTTCAAATAATGTGATATAAATGTGCATATATCTATGTACACAACAAGCACACACATTATTATTTTGAACAAATGTTATCTGTTAGATCAATAGTAAAAATATTATAATCAATTATATTTATATATCAATTATATTATATATCAATTATATATTATAATTCAATCAAGAATAAAAATAATAATATTACCTCTACTTATTCCTATTTCAATATTTTTCCTTTCCTAATGTACATCCAAATTTCTGACCTTTGTTATTTTCCTTCTCTCTAAACTTCTTTTGACATTTCTCACAAGGCAGTTTGAGTGGCAACAAATTCTTTCAATTTTTGCTTGGTGAGAAATCCTTTATTTTTCCTTTATTTTAGAATGATAATTTTTCATCCTGTAGGTGATATTTTTCTCTCAATACTGTACTTCAAATATTTCAACCCATAAGCTTCTTTCTTGTATGGTATCTATGGAGAAGTTGGATATAATTCTTATTCTTTGCTTCTCATACAATAAAGTGTTTTTCTTTTGGATTCACTCAGAATTTTCTCTTTCTTTCATTTCCAGTAGTTTGAATATTGTGGGCCTAGGTGTAGTGCATGTGTGTGTGGCCGTGGAAGCATGTTTGATATTTACCCTCCTTACTATCCATATCAAGCCTCCAACAGTTCAATTATGTGTCAGGTTTTCCTGCCCCAGCAATGGAACCTGTGGAGCTTGCTGCTAGTGGATTTTCTGCTCCTACAATGGTGATTCTCCTTATCTGCCTTTGTTTGTCTCCAGTTTGGGGGGCAACAGCTTGCCCTATGACCTCATTTCTCCTGGAGACCTAAGAAGAGTTGTTGATTTTTTGGTTTTGGCTTTACTTAGTTAAGATTGAGGGGCAGTTCCTAAATTCCTTGTGAGGGGAACCAGAATCTATACATCTCTTTTATTTCTAAGTCCTCCATTTTTGCCTTATTCTGTCTTAGTGGTTTTCCAATACAGTCACCTTTCACAATCCTTAGGGGATTGGTTTGAAGATCCTACATGAATATCAAAATGCTTGGTGCTGGAATGCCTTATATATTTGCATATAACCTACACACATCTTACCACATATTTAAGTCCTCCTTAGATTGCTTTTAATAGCTAAAACAATGTAAATGCTAGGTAAATATACTGTATCATTTAGGGAATTACATAAGAAAGAATATACATTTTAAATACAGATGATTTTTTTTCTCAAAGATTGGTGAGCCAGACAGACACATTGGCACATACCTATAATCCCAGAACTCTGGAAGCTGAGGCTGGAGGATCACAAACTTGAGCCCAACCAGCTCAACTTGGTGATTTACAAGACCTTGTCTAAAAAAATAAGTTTAAACGACCTGGGATTGTAGTTCAGTGCAGAGATCCTGGGTTCAATCCCCAAAACAGGAAAGGAAAAAAAAAAGAATTTTTTGATCTGTAGTTCATTGAATCTATATATGTGGAGACAGTAGAGGGCAGACTGTGAGCCATTTTAATTCCTTGACATTTGTTATATTTCTTTTGAATTATTTTTAGTGGTTCCCATGTGTGCTGAAATTAATACCGTAATTTGTAACACTCTAGTTTGTATTAATACCAACTTAATTTTAATAGCATATAAAAACTTTGTGCTTTTATATGTCTTCAGATATCTCCACTTCTCCTATTATGCCTTTACATTTTGTGTGCTCATTGACATAAAATTATAATTCTTACTTTATGAAATTATCTTTTAAATGAGACACATATAAAAAAGTATGACAAACAAAGATACATTTATATTGTCTTCAGTTTTGCTGGACCTAAAATTCATGGTTGACTGTGTTGGTCAGCTTTCCATGACTGTAACAAATATCTAAGATAAATCAACTTTAAAAGAAGAAAGGTGTATTCTGGCTCACAGTTTTGCAGGTTTCATTCCATGGTCTGCTGACCCCATTGTTCTTGGGCCTGTGTTGAGGCAGCACATGATGGTGGGTAGTAGGTGGCAGAGGAGGCTTATTCATCTCATGTCAACCAGGTGTGAAAAATACAGAAAGAGGAAGGGACAGAGTCTCACAATACTTCTTAAGAGCACATACCCACCAGAACTCGCCTATTAAAATTTTTACCACTTATTAATTGTGCCAAGCTGAGGACTAAGCCTTTAAGACATTCTGGCTCTAAAGCAGTCTTTCGCTCCTGATCCCTGAAGTCGCATGCCTATTTCACATTGCAAATGGAATCAGTCCATCCGTAAGCACCATCAAAGTTCCTAACAGTCCTAGCATTGCTCACAAGTTCAAGTCCAAAGCCACCTATGAGACGCAAGGCAAACTTATCTGAAAGCTTCCGTAAGAATAAAAAAGAATTTACATATTCCCAAGATACAGTGGCCCAGTGTAAACATTCCCATTCTAAAAGAGATGAATAGGGGAATAAAAAGGAAGAATCAGAACAAAGCCCAGTATAGCAGACATTAAACCCTACAGCAGTGTGTTCAGATTCAGGATACTCTGGGGCAGGATATGGGCTCTCAAGGGTTTGGACAACACTGCTCCTGTAACCTTGCTTGCTGTAGTCACACCGGCTCTTTTCTGGGCAGGTTTTGCCTGCCTCCTGCAGCTTCCTTCAACAGGCATCTCTGTCTTCCTAGGTCGCCACTGCAGCTTTGGCTTCACTCGAATAGCATGATGGATTGTCCCGTCAAGGGGCACCCTCAGCTCCTCTCTTTGCTCTTTGCTTCCTGCCTGCCATAGGTTGAACAGCTTTTCTCTCCCAGGCTCTTTCACCGCGCCATTTTTGCCTTGGAGCCACCTGACCATGGCCTAAAGACATGTGTCAAAATAAACCTCTCTTCCTTTAAATTGTGAATGTTAGGTATTTTTTCCCAGCAATGGGAAAGTGACTAAGACATCCATGCCACATCCTGAATGCTGTGCTGCCTTGCAACTTCCTCTGGAGTCAAAATCTTTGCCATGGTGTTTCGCAGGTGGCCTCTATTCCAACTCCTACTAGAGTCCTTATTTCCATTTGAAACCTCATGAGCATAAGCCTTACTCTCCATATTTTAATCCATATTCTGGTCTTCACCATGCTTCCACCAGAAGCATGTGCCAAGTCCTGCTTATAGAATTCTTAGGTTTCTGTAGCTTACTTCTCCAAACTTTTCCAAACTCTTTCCACAAACCATTACAAAGACTCTTCCACATCATCTCAGGTATATAGTAATGGCAAAGATGTCACTTCTTGGTAACAATTTTCTGTGTTAGTCAGTTTTTCATTATTGTAACAAATACCTGAGATCAATAAGCTTAAAAAGTAGAAAAGTTTATTTTGACTCACTGTTTTGGAGGGTTCAGTCCAGAACCAATTGGTCCTGTTGCTTGGGGTCTGTGATATACCATACCATAGTATATCATGGCAGGAGCGTGTGGTGGAGAAGATCTGTTTACCTCATGGCAGCTGGGTGCACAAAAGAGAAAGAGGAAGGGGTGTGGTGTGGTCCCACACTCCCCATCCAGGGTACTCACTCTCAGCATGACCTAAAATCTCCCACTAGATCCCATCTGTTCAAGTTTATATCACTTCCTAATAGTGTCAATCTGGTGACCAAGCCCTTTTAATACATGGTCCTTTGGAGACATTCCCAATCCAAATCATAGCATTGACAGTTTTTGTTTGTTTTCCCTTCAGTGCTTTGAATATATAATTCCAGTAGCTATTGATCTCCAGGGTTTCTCATGAGAAACAGCTGTCAGACTTTAATCTATGTACCCTAGAAGAGTTCCAGGAGGGAAGATGTCCCCAGGATGGAGAGATACTGACTCCCCAAGACCACAGCCATGGGAAGTAACAGAGAGAAGGACCAAAAGGAGTGGTGTAGGCTGTTCTATCTGAGCTGGTTATAGGCTCCCAACCCTTTCTTCATAGCTTGGCAGGGTGGTCATAGGTCAGAAGGCAACATGTGAGATGTTTATTTATTGCATTTCTCCCTTCTTATTGGGTCTATGCTTATTAGAAATTTCTCCATAAACTCTTATCTTTTATTTCCAGTGTTAAATCCCCTCCAGATTTATTTGTACATCTTCATAATTATTTTAGTGGAAGTGGGAGATGTAAAATGCAGCAATATCTTTTCACATTGCTTATATATTCTTGAGTGGCTTTTATACCAGAGATAAACAATAAAGTGAGAAAAAGCATGGAAAAAATGACCACTGATAGGTAATAACAGATGGCCCTCAAGAATTATTCTTCATTGCTTCATGGAATGGCAGATGGGAGGCTCATAGGGAAGGGCTGGTACTAATCCTTATGGGTATATAAATCTCACACAGTTGAGCTAAAATATACTGGGAAACTAAAGCCAGTAGTCATTCTAATAGTCAGTTTGTGTTGTGAAGGTCTTGTACTCCACATCAGTTTTTACGCTAAGGGTTTTTATAATAACAAGTATGTGTGAACTAATTCTCACATCCACCATGGTGGTGATGGGCATTAAAATGTGGTTATAACAAAGACATGGGAAACAGTTCATCTCTCAGCATCTCCCATAAACATGTAGAAACCTTAAAACTTACTGAGAGAAGGCAGGGGCAGTGAGCTTGCCAAAGGGACTCAACTAAAGGCATTGCTTTTTTCTTTTTCTTCAGTTTCTGGGAAGGAAGTTCAAAGCATATTTCATTCCAAAAGCCAACCAAAGACAATTCCCTCCAATGATATGGATATTCGATGTTCTACTTCTCAGGCAGAAGAAACTATTCTTTGTGTGGGCTGATGCTGAGGCCTGCGCTTGCCAACATTCTATTGGGGTTTAATAGGATAGATTACCTTGGAGCTTCCCTGAATCAAAACAAGCAACCAGCAGAGGTTGCTGAAGTCAGAGCTGCAAAACCTTCCAGAAATCACAGAGAAAGCTTAGTGCAAGAGCAAAACCACAGGAGTTCAACTTGATTTCAACCCTCACATTTCCTGGAAATCATTTATGAAAACCCAGGTTTGGCGATGAATCTGTTAAATAATAGCCTCGAGGTCAAAGTTAGCAATGTGTGTATGGGGGATAGTTTTGGCATTGTGGTTGAGAGCATGATTGTTCACACTGCATAGATGTGTACATTGTTAAAGGGACTTAAAATGAATCTGTAGAAGGCCCATGACACCTAGCTGGGCAGAGCAAGGCTCTTAGGATGCAGCTCTGGTCACATAGCTATGGCCTCTCTGGACCCTAAGGAAACCATACAGAGCTTTTCCTTAATTTCTTTGGGAAATCAGTGGATACAGAAGGAACAATAACATCAGCCACAGGCAGTGGAAGCTCTGCTTTGCCTCTAAGACACCAGCCTTTCTACCCTCTTGTGGTGGCTTTGATTTTATTACCACCTTCCAGGGTACCATTGGCACGAAATCCCTTCATTTGCCCAGCTGCTGCAGAGCCAGGCTGCTGCTGGGTCTAACTGATGTCAAAGAGCACGAAGGAAACAGAGCCCTTTACTGAAACTGGGTGCCTCTCAACATTTGAATAGTGACAACTACTGACGACAGGCTGCAGTTTTCTCTTTTGCCACCAGGTGGAGAAGGAAGAAAGAAGTGGAGGGGAGAGATCTGATCGCAAAGTTCCCTGATAGCCTTTTCCTCTAGTTTTCAGAAGGGTAGACAGATCCACTGGCCACTTATTTCCTGCACGAAAGCCATGAAGCCCAGTCCAGGGCCTCCTCTAGCTGCCTACCCAATATCGCTTGGATGCCCTTAAATAAAACCCAGTGTTCCCCACTTATTCACAAAACAGCCCCCCCCCCCCATCAAGCCACACGCCAAGTCCATCACCAGGCCCTCCTGAATCCTTGCTCAGTTTCTCTTTGGTGGGTCTTCTCTTCAGTTCATTGTCACTTTCTGAATTCAGGCCACTGTTATTTCTCCCCTGGATTAATGCAAAGTCCCTGGGCCAAGTGTGCCATGCCTCTGGACCTCTGTACATGCTCACCCTTCTGCGTGGAATACACCGTCCCTCTGCTGCCCGCCTTCCTCTCCTCAGAAGCGTGTCTGTGGGTGGGATCTGCCATAGTTAGCTTTCTATGTCAACTTGACTAGGCTCCGATTTAACATGATTTCTGGGGTTGTCCCTTAGTGTTTCCAGATGACATGAGCATTTGAGTCGGTGGACTCAGTGAAGCAGAAGGCTCTCCTCAATGTGGGAGGCTGTTATAGCTTGGGGCAAGGTGTCCCCCAAAGCCTCATGCGGTCCTAGGGGGGCTTTTCAGAGGTGGCCAGATCTACAGTGTGTGACACAGTGGTTAAGTGCATGATGCTGGGATCAAGGGTGTGCAATTGCTAAATCAGCCCACTGATTGGTCTGGCATGGCTCTGGGTGTGGGTAATGGAAGCCCCACCCCAGGTGTGAGTGCTCCCCACCCTAAGGGCCCATGGCCTAGGTAGAATGTAAGGGACAGAACAGGGCATTTTTTGTTCCTTGCTGCTTGATGCTGCTTCTTTGCTACTTCACTATTATGCTGCCTTCTGTGCTCCATGAACCGTTTCTCCTCTGTGATGCCCCCTCTGCCATGCCACCCAGCCTTGGAGCCAGACAACTGTGAACTGAAGCCTCTGCAAACTGTGAGCCAAAAAAACCTTTCCTCATTTAACTTTGGGTATCAGGTACTTTGTCTCAGCAACAAGCAAAGTAATTAAGACAGTGGGCATCAGCCAATCCACTGAGGGGCTGAACAGAACAAATAGGCAGAGGTAGGAGGAAGTCACCCCTATGTTTTCCTGCCCGCCCTGCTGAGCTGAAACATCTCACACCTGGTCCTTGCACTGGGACTTCCACTATCATCTGGTGCTCTGGCCTTCGGACTCAGACTGAAATTAACATCCCTGGCTTTCCTGGGTCTCCAGCTTACAGGCAGCAGGTCATGGAACGACTTGGCCTCCACAAGTGTGGAGCCAATTCACCTAATAAGTCTCCTTTATAAGGTGTGATCAGTAATATGGTGAGTGCTGCTGCTGTGTGCCATCCAGTGGAAAGGAAGTGTCGGAAATACATCACAGTGTTTCCACATTCATCTGATTCACTGGCTCTGGCACCATGTAACTTCCCCAAAGTCAAAATGACCATGAAAGACCAATTTTTTTTAATCCATTCAGAACATCAAGGCAGCCATGACAGCAGAACTAAATAGACACACATGAAAGAGGACTTCCAGAACTGCTTCTGAAAGTGGCAAGAACGATGGGATGAGTGCTCAAAGTGAGAGGAGTATTCTGGGGGGTGATTGGTATCAATGTGTCTTTTACTGTAATAATTTTTAAAAATTTAAGCATTAACCATATTTTTTGATCATACCTCATATATACTCTTGGGTTTTTTCTCCAAAGAACCTTGACTACTATAGAATCAATGTTAGCGGCTATATCAGGCATTGAAAGAATCTCTAAAGTTTTATTTCTTTAAAGAGAGAGCAAGAGTGAGTGATCTCAACCAAAATGTTCCTGTCTTAGATGATATGCATACTGCTGTCTGTTGTTTTATTTTTACATGTGCTTGAAATACTTTAAAATTTTTAAAGTATTTCAAAATGAGCAATACACCCTCCTTTGCATCTCCATAACCTTCTGTATTAACTCCTTTTCCAGGGCTCCTGGCCAGAGCTATCATTGTAGGTTTTCTTGTCTCTTCATCCTGCTAAACTATAAACTCCCTGTGTCTTGTTTATGTCTCTATCCATGTATGATCGGTCCCTGGCAGACATTTGCTGGTTACTGGAATGACTTTCTAAAGCACCTGCTGTACAGTGATCTGGTGCCACTTTGTGGCATTGGCGGTTGACAGGTACTGGCTGAAACCTGCAGAGATGAGAGGAGGAAGTTGTACAGAGAATTTGGCAAAACTCACCTCTCCCAGCCTGGGAAGGCAACATGTTGAGGTTCTGAAGACCTTGGGCCAAGTCCAGGGGAGTGACTGTTTCTCATCAGAGAGAATGACGGGCTGATCTATCAGACAGAGGAGCCAGCTCCATGCCACCTGATGACAGCGGCCTTTCCGGGAGAAGCTGAAGAGGCTGAAGAACAGCCCCATTATGATTTAGATCTAGAATGGCCCCCAAAAGTCTCATGTGGGTTGAAGGTGATTGGACCACGTACTTGTTAGTGGACTCATCCATTGATGAGTTCATAGCTAAATGTGCTGCTAGGAGATGGGGCCTGGCTGGAGGTGGGTCATGGGGGTGTGACCCCAAAGAGTGTATTCTTGTCTCCAGCTCCTCTCTTCTCTCTGCTTCTTAGCTGCCCTGGCTTGAGCAGCCTTCCTCTCCCATACCCCTCTACCATGCACTTTCTGCCTTGGAGCCAGCCAACAATGGACTGATACTATGAGCCAAACTCTCCTCTTTGAAGTTGTGAGTATTGAGTATTGTGGAGTATTGTGTCTCAGTGACAGGAAATTGGCTAAGACAGTGCCCAGCCTGGTTTATCAGAGAGGATAAAAAATTCCTGGATGGGCCAGAGGAACTAAGACAAAAAGAAACAAATGTATATACACAGAACACACCTGATTTTGACAAAGCCATGAGAACCGGGAGCATGAAGATTGGGGTGGGGTCATGTGGTAGAGAGTGAGAAAAAAGGGGGCGCTGGGAGTCCTGCATCACCAGAGAATCTGGATATCAGGACAATCTGAGGTGTCCTGCTTTATTTATTTATTTAGTAAATCTTTATTAAGTACCTACTGTGTGCTTGACACAATGCCTGGTGCTGGGAATACAATGCTGAGCAAAGTTAGCTGATGAGTTGCTAAAGAAGCTTATTTACATCACATGGCTGAGGCCGTATTCCTCCATCCATGGTTGCAGGTGACCTGGAGTACATAACCCATCCTCATCCTGCACAACATGGTGCTGTGTCCTCTCTTGCATGATGGCAATGCAGACACCTCCAGTGTCTCCCCCCCACTCACATTCTCTGTCCTACACTTGACACTCCATCTTTAATGGAGAATACTGGTAGAGGGAAAGGGGCTGGCTCTGGAGTGATGCTGAAAAAGAAGAAACCCTTCCATAAGTCTGAGGTGGGCCCCAGGCATCTTTATATTTACAAAGCATCCGGTGATTCAGATAATAACCAGAATTCCATGTTGATTCTGATGTCCACTGTTCTGAGAAAAGTGTGACTAAGCCAGGGGCGAACAAACTTGGGGTACATCAGAATCATTGGGCTCTTACAGCTGTGCCCAGCTTCAGAGTTTCTGGTTGCATGGCCTAGAATATGCATTTCTAATGAGGTGAGGGACCAGACTTGGAGAACTGTTTTGCTACAGGATTGGCCTGCCTCCCTGGAAATTGTACAAGTTGGGAAGAATAGAAGCTCTCTGCTCCAGTTTTTAGCCCTGTCTGCAATGAGAATCATCTGGTAAGCTTCTAAAATCTCTCTGCTCAGACTGCATCCCAGACTATCTTAGTCACTTTCTCATCACTAGGACACTCGCAACTAAAAGGAGAAGTGATTTATTTTGGCTCACAGTTAGTAGAGGTTTCAGTCTGTAGTCAGCCGATTCCAATGCAGGACAGCCTGGTAAAGGGGCTTGATGGAGGACAGCTGCTGATGGCATGGCAGACAGGAAGTAGAGGGCCGAGAGAGGAGCTGGGGAGGGAGATAAACCACTTCAAGCCACACCTCCAGTGAGCAGTCTCCTCAATCAGACCCGGCCTCCCAACAGGAAGTCAGCTGTAAGGCCCATAATCCAATCACCTTCTAAACACATGAGACTATGGGGATGATTTTAAATCTAAACCATACTACAGGCCAATGGATTCATCACAGAGCAGTGGAATACCCAAGGAAGGGACCAAGACATTGGTAGTTTTTAAATCTCCCCAAGCAACTTCCATAGTCTGAAAATCACTCCCTTGGAGAGGTCTTTAAACTATCTGGAAAGCAGAGGACAAAAGATGGGGAAGGAGTGGAAGACAGAGGATACAAGAGCCAGGGTCAGGGGCTGAGGCCCGAAGGGTCTGGGACATATGTCAGCTCAGCACAGCCTTGGAGATCCCTGTAGTTAGCACCTTTCTCCCTGGTCCTAGGAAATGCACAAATATGAGCCAGGCATGAGTCAGCCACAGGACTCATTGTGGAGACCACTCAGCCAGAAGTGCCTCTGGTCACACAGGAACTTAGCTTGGGGGCTGGGCCATGGCTCCAAGGCTCAGTGCCAGGCCCCGAGGTGAGTGCCACGGAGGCTGGAGCAGAGCTCTTTCCTCTGCTGAGGTCATTGCCCAGCGATCGAAGCCCAGGGGGTGGAAGACAGGCCTGGCACCTGGCCTCAGGTCTTCCCCATAGCCCAGGCCACATAAAGCTATGCTCTTTGGTACAGGTAGATCTTCCAGATTAGGCAGAAGTCACAAGCACAGTGTTCTAATTGTGGCATTTCAAACCTTTATCTAGAAGAAAAATTTCAATAAGATGCAAAGGTACATTTACACCTTGAAAGTTTTTTTTTAATCTTGTATATTAATTCCAGTTTGGGATTATGTTGAGCTACGAGGGTTCAAGTTTCATTGTGACCATCTCTGTGTGCCAGGGGTCGGTGACAGTCCTCTGTGAGCTGTTTGTTGTGCAGAAAGCTCCTGGGTAAGTCGCCCAGGAGAATGAATATTCATGACTAAGTGCTTGGTTATAATAAAAAAAAATCTTAAGATGTAGATCAGAGAGGATAAAATCTAAGTCATTATCTCACTGGGATTTGCCAGAGATCCCTTTAACAGACAGCAAAACATAAAGAAAAATGTGCTTTATGCCCAGAATATTCTATTTTTAGAATTTTAAATCAATAACAAATACTTACGGAGTCCACCTCTGAGAAGGTTTACAAAGCTCAATTTTAAAGCAGGGTCCTCTAGGAGACCCTGGGAGACCTTACCTAATTGGGAACAGAGTTTTGGCTAAGGACAAGACATTCAGAAAAAAATGAAGAAATATTTTTGAGAAGGGAAGAAAATATGAGAGCTCTCATGGTGCTTGACGACGGGAAGCCAAAGTCTTGACGTAAATTCAGGCAGGGGTTCAGCTAGCTGCTTTCATTAAGTCATTTTGCTTGTTTTTCCTTTCTGGTGGTGATGGCACCATTGACTGAACACAGGACCTTTGCACTTCCCCAGTCCTCTTTTTATTTTGAGACAGGGTCTCACTAAGTTGCTAAGTTACCCAGGCATGAACCTGTGATCCTCCTGAGTGTTGTGGTTGCAGGTGTGCACCACCAGGCCCAGCTTACCCCACTTTTTAGTGCCTTTGGTTTCCTTCTCCATATAAGGGAGTGGTGTCCTTTTCATTCTCCAGGAAGCTCAGATAACATTAACAATTCCAAAAGCTTAAGTGAAAGTTAGGCAGTGGCTGAATGCTAATGTTGGGAAGAATTTGGCAAATGGACTCCCAAAAGGATGACACCATTAGCTTGGGTATCTGCAAAGTTTTCTTAATTACCACATCTGCTCCCCAGCCAGAAGATGATTCCTATTTCTCACCATATGCTCTACTGCCTGCTTGTTTGCCCTCTGTCAATCATTCCCCTTCAAAGTCCCTCTCACACCAGGCTCCCTGGCTGCTTCTCACCTACAGCTTCCCCATGATGTGGAACTGTCACCTAATAGACCTGGTTGTCCTGTCGGGCCTCAGGAATGCGCTTCATGGCCCACTGGCAAATCAAACCACATATAATGAACTGAATCTCTCATCAAAAGAAAAGAAAAAACTTTTATTTTTTTTCTATTGCATAAATAATGGTAAATTAGACTCTTTTTTTATACAGATTATATATTTACAGACAAGTTTGGTTAGAGAAAACATCTGGTAAATATGGCAGTCAGTGTTCCTTTATACACTAAGATAACATATTAATAATATATACTTCATTTGATCCGTAAGTCGCATGCCAAGTTCATTTATATTAATATTTACATTTTATATAAAGATTTCTTTTTGACTTATCAATCTGCTGACTCTCATCACTTAATAGCAGAAATCATCAATGAATACTGAATTAAAATAATAAAAAAAAAGAACGTGAATGAGGTAAATGGGAAGATTGTGATCCGTGATTTCAGTCTTCGTGGCCCATTCTGGATATCAGAGCCACCAAGCTCCGACATCCTGGTCATCGTAGGTAGTCCTCATCTGTGCTTCTATTTACACCACATGTTGGTGGTTAGGATTCCAGTTGTTTACTACTGTGCTTTGAGAAACCACTCATGTCGCCAGTCCAATAACCTCTGTGTTCACAGTGACTTTCCCTCCCCACTCCCCTGAGAGAGGACAGCTTGCCAACCCCCACTGACCAGACTTCTGACCAGTCACTCTCTTTGGTTAGTCCTTGGAGAGACAGCTTCTTCCTAAATTCAGAATTGGGAAAGAAAATCAACTCCCACCAAGAAGCCACTCAAGGACCCCTAAAATCTTATATTCATAGAAGAAAGAGTATTCTTCAATTTTCCCTGGGGAAAGTCGAGAGAGAGGACTTGTGTGAATTTCCACTGGGAACTAGGAGGGTCCTTTCCTGGGTCCATCTTGTCTTTCCAGGGAAGAATAGCAAGACTTGCTGTATAAACGACTGGGACCTTGGCCTACTTTAGGAAGAGGGACTTAGGGTTTGCTATTGACATGGGGCAGAGGGGCCGGAGACGCCATCTTGTGGTCATGCAGCTGCTCCATTCCTGCTCTCTGTCCATAGTCGGGTCCCAACTAAAGCAGGCACCTGTGCTTAGAGCCACTTAGCCCCCAGAGGACCAGCACAGCAGCTGTTAGTCTAATTCCTGACAATCACCAGAGGTCACGAATTTCTTCCTTCTCCAGTGCTACACATAATTACAAACCTCTATCACATCTACTGGAACTGCTGTTCTGGTGACCAGAAAAAAAAAAAAAAAAAAAAAAAAAGGAAAGAGATGACTGGAAATTGTGCTCTTTATTCAGTAGCTTCCAGTCAGGCATCCCCAGATGGAGAAACCAAGCCTCTTTTCTTGGAAACTGGCTTTGTTTCCCTCTACTTACTCATGAATTCGGATTCATGTGGCCTGTGGTGGCTAAGACAAGGACACAAAGCCCATTTTTGGTGCTGCCTCAAATCAGCAAGTCCTCGGGGAATAAGCAAAACCTCTCGCCTGCGTGACATGACATGTTTGACATAAACCAGTGGGTGTTTTGTATACAGACAATGGACACCAAAAGGGATCCTTTATCACAGCTGCTGCCCTCTTGAGACTTGTATTAAAAAAGAAGGTGCCAGCCCGGATTGCAATTCATGGGGGACCTCAAGGCTGTCTGAACAGTGGACACTTGCTCTGACTTTTGTACCAAGCCGAATGTCACAATGGGAGAGCGCCTCTAGTTTACCTTTCCTCAGGCTCCAGAGATGGGAAATCTGAGGCCACAGAGAGAAGCCACTTGACATAGCCTAGCATTTGCTGGAGGGTCCTGGTGCCTGGGTCCTCCCTAAGTGACAGCACTACTATTCAGTTTCTCTGCTCGGCTTTCCTGGCCAACGTTCAGCAGATCTCAGAGACCTGGAAAAGCCTTTCTGGTCTTGGCAGGTATCATCATCTTCCCAGGAAAGAGAAGCCATGAGCTTCCTCTTGAAATTCACAGAGCATGTCATTGGCAGCAGGTTGATGGGCAGCCCTGTGGCACTCTATCCCCTGTATGCTTCCAAAGCAGGCCAGATACACAGGGCAGATATTCCAAGGCCAGCAACTGCAACTTCTTAAAACTTTCTTTTGCTCTCTCAGGTCCAGGGATGGAGGAACATCACAGTTGAATTTTGCATTCCCTGGAATATTCCTTCCTAATTAGCCTGCTCTGCTATCCCACTGGAAATTTCCAGCCACTGCCTCTTTTCTACTTGGACAATAACTACTGACAGTGTGAGAAGCACTGATTTGAGAGCCAAGTCATCTCACCAGAGGTGAATGAGACTCTACTCTAGGTAGGGGTTGCAGAAACAGGCTGGATAAGCTTTGCTCAGGTATAGAGAAATGTCTCTGAGGGACTGGAAAAAGCTCATTCTTGCTGGCACCTTTCAAGACAACTGAACCAAATTAATTTTGTCTTGAAAACTTTGAGCATTATCTTCATATCCCTTGAGGCCATATGAAGTGGATCCCAAACCAATATTAAGTATAATCATCACTGGTAAAATGCACATCTGTAATGAGCATAGGATACTAAGAGAAATACTTAGCTAGTTGGTACACTTGACCTTATTCCTCCAAACCAACTGTCTCTGGCAAGGCCACATCACCGAGGACAGTCCCCTGAGTGACTAAGTCAAAGCAAGTACAAAATGAAGCTGAACAGTTCTGACACTTAAATTATCATGGAGACAGGGTCCGTAAGAGACAGCCCAAATCCCCCTCTATTTTGCCATCACTATAAATAATTCAAATTGAAAACTTTGCTGCTGAATAATGCCTGTTGTCTATTTCTGATGGATCTTTCCCTTTGTGGGAGCTGGGCAGCCAGCTGTGAGGGAGGATGGCTACAGCAAGGCCTTTAGAGTTCAGATTCTCAGCCTCATGGACATCACTGAAGAGGCCAATGAGAAAGGTCGTTTCAGACAGATGTTCTCCAGAGTATACCTTTCTGCAGTCCTCCTAGCAATAGGACCAGCATGTGCCAAAGTCTCAAAGCTTAGTCTCAGTTTGTCTGCATCATCATAACATTATATAAAAATGGACCATGCCTTGCAAAGTAAAATAATATAACTACTGTGGTTCTTGGGAGAAACAGTCAGTGCAGTAAAATGACCCAATATGGTTTGAGGCATCCAGGGAGGAGCCAAGCTCAGCAGCTTCTTCAAGAATAGTGACAAAGGACACAGCAGAAAAGGACTCCAGGGGATGCAGCTGCTGAGGCCAGCCCAGCCCAACCCAGGGAGGCCATACCCTTCTTCTGGCCATGCCCTTCTATTGTCCCTTCCCCAGAGCTACTAGCTTCCAGTTAAGAACATTGTGCAAAACTCTCTTTGATTTATGACCTGAGTCTGGACTTAAGCCTAGTACATGTATCTTAGATCCAACACTTAGGTCTATCACTTTATCATTAAGCAGCTGGGAGATGGGGTGGAGAGTTCTTGTCAAAACGAGCTGCCCATCTTTGGATAATCACAAGAAAGTGGGCCATTTGTCATGTGAAATCTGAGACAGGAGCAGGTATGGAGCCAGAAGCCTCCAAGTGCACATCTTGCTCTCTGCAAATAAAACACCCAGAGAGAAACTTTGGCTACCACCATGCTTGCCTAAGACCACAAGGAAACCTCAGTTCACTTAAGTTCACATTTCTGGCTTCTCAACCAGCAAACAGATGCTTTTAAAGATTGGAGGCTTAAAATATTTTTGGCCTTACAGATGATTTTTTTTTTGGCCTTTTTGCTTAGATTTGGGGATTCTTGATCTGGGAGGTTGGGTGGAGGGTAGGAGTGGGGAGGGTGCTACCAGGCTTACAGGTAGCTTTTTCTCCTGGGTAAATTGAAGGACAAGTTCCAACACATGAGGAAAAGGCAGAGAAGCCACCCAGAATCTCACAGGATGATTTCCCCTCCCAGCAGGATATGGATGCAGGAAGTCAGGTGACAATCAGGCAGAGCCCAAGTGTTCTTTAAGAAAATGTTCCCTATTTTTGTGTGCCTTGGCAAACTCAGGGTGGAATGCAATGGTTGCCATGGTGATCTTCTTTTTTCCTCCTTCTTACAGATGGGTCACGTGGGACCCACGCATGTTCTGGAAGCCACTGCTAAGACTTTGGATGTTGGGTCTTGTATGGGGGCTCTGCCTGCACCTGGACTGGTAGGAACTAGATTTTTTTTTGTAATGTTTAAGAGAACTAGGGTCTGCTTCTCTTTTTCTCAAACATTAAACATCTTCTTGATCATCACTGGTGTGGTCTGCGAGAAGGGGGAGGGGAACACCTGCTCTTACAACAAGAACAAGGTGAGCTTGCTTTGCCAATCCCTCGGCCACCTGATGGCTGCCAGCCCTGGTCACTGAATCCAGTCTGGTCACTGGCAGGACAGTGAAGGTTGGATGTCTCTCTCCCAGTTCCTGCAGGTCACCTCCAGCTGCAGCCTGGTGGCCCTCCTTGGTTATGCAGGGCCAGAACCTTCTGGAACCTTGATTCCCTGAGCCTCACAGACACTGTGACAAGGATGGTGATGTGCAGAGCCCTAGCATGGGATCTGTGAACATGGCTGGGGATGGGGCTGCCTGACTCTCTAGTGACATCTAAGACAGCTCTTCCAAGCACAGCAGCTAAGGCACACGTCACAGGGACAGGCTCAGCCCTGAAAGTCTGGAATGGCTCTCTAGCTTAGCCTGTCTCCACACACTGTATCTTTCAGCCACCGGGTGCCTTGTGTGAAGCTACCATGGCGGGAGGCTAACTTCTAGGCCATCAGAGAGAACGCTGTGGCTTCCATTGTGCCCTAGCTCCCCAGAAATATCCACTAGGAGAATGTGTTCTCCTGGATCAGCTCCTGGCCTGACTTTCCAGGTCACTGGGGAAGAGGAAAGGGCTTCTTTTAAGGGAAAGGATACTCGTGCCTCGGTATGGAACAGGCTGTTGGTGCCCTTCCAGAATGTCTCTTAATCCCCACCCCTGCACAGCGGCTCATCTCACTGATGGAGAAACCTACCCACACCCTGGCAGCACCCTTTGGGGTCAACATCTTCAGTGAGAGGCAGAGGGACTTGCAAAAAAGAAGCCTTTGAAATACTTATTTTCTGCCCTGATAGGCAGCCTCAGTTCCCTCTCAGGGAGCAGGGGCCCTTAAGGACTCGTCCTTGGTCGTCTACGCAGTCTACTCACGATCTTTCACCCTTGTCCCCAGAAGGATGTGGTTTAGAGGTTCAAGGGTCAGCAACAGGTAGAGAAGCATTTCCCTGCAGGGTTTGCTGTGTCTTCCCCCACCTCCAGCAGGGAGAGGACAAGCTGTCCTGGGAAGAAACTAAAGAGGAAGTCATCTAATGGGTCTTGCATCTGTTCTAGACTAAGATTCTGATCCTAAGGGCACTATGGAGACTCAGTCAAAGGGAGAGACAGAAAGGGCAGGTGTGTTATGAGCAAGGTGGCAGGGCAGGGCAGGCAAGGGGCAAAGGCAGGCTATTGCCTCCCTTGCCCTCCCTTGGCCTGGCAGGCTACTGCCTCCCTTGGTCTGGCCTGCATGCACCAGACTTCAGGTGGCTCTTAGAGGAACTCTTCACCCCCTGGACTCTTGGGAACTTAGATCTGCTCCCTTTCCATACTATGGCTCAAACCCTAGTTTAACTTGTGCTCATGGTGAATATTTGCACTTTCCCATGGTGGGAAAGTTTCTGCAGCTGTCCCCATGCTGTGCTGCAGGGAGGGCTTGCAGAGGTGAACTAGAAGAAGACCCTAAATGGAGATCTCGGTGCTCCACGTCTAAGAAAGCAGTGAGGGAGAAGCAGGGAAAAGGAGGGCTTGAGGGCTGGCTGGGGGTCACACATTGCACCAAAATTCCGACCCACTCCTTTGGGAGAGAAAAGATTCTGTTGCCTCAATACTGAAAGAAAGCGGGGGAAGTCTGGGGGAGAAGCGTGTAGCTTTAGGATACAATCGAAAGACAGGGGAGCGAGATCATTCCATTACTGAAATAAAGACCTGAGCTCAGAAAAGTACAAAGAGGAATAGCACATCTAGAGATTACTGGCTAATCTTACTATGCAAGCTGGAATTAATACAGGTGGCCGATGTGGCATCTAGGAAAAGTCAGGAAATGAGAGACTTGGTTATGGTTTGAAAACAGACCACTGGATTCAGTTCCCTTACCCAACAGAAGTATTCTGAAGGTAAATTACCTGTCACGTTGGCTTATCTTTTTTTTGTCCTTCTTCATATGAGTCAGTTACAGGATCTGAATGCCAGAGGATATGTAAAAGACAGTAGTTTGATCTTTCCATCTTTCTGCTTTGGAGTAAGTTTCTCTTTTGAGCTGGGAAAGACTAACTAGCAAAGCAATCTACAGGATGAGGGGAGGGGAGATGCACATGGACCTTAACTTACAGGGGTCGTCTGGTATGGATTGGTGGGGGCTCCTGGACTCTGGATGCCTGGGGTATGGGTGGCCAACACCTCCTCACCCCCTAGTTCAGTCTCCTCCCCTCTCCCAGTCTGCCTCACCCTCTGCCCCAAAGAAGCAGGGATGAGTGTGGGAGGGAGGACAAGCTTATATTCAGAGTAAGCGTTTAGAGAAGGAGATGTCACGCACGAAGAAGCCAGGTCTCTTTGTCTATGTCTCTGTGTTATAAGATGCCCATGACCATGGTTCCCTTGTCTCAAATGGCAGCACAGGGGGCAAAGCTCAGGGAGGGAAGCTCTTTGCAGATTCCCAAAAATGCTGGTGCGGGATGGGCTCTAGGAACAGAAAACCAAGTGCCACAGGAACCAACTGAGAGCGCCCCGACTCTACCAACATGAATCCTGTAGAAAAGGCAATAAGAACGGAAGCGATAGGGTGCAGCTTCAGACAGCCAGGGGCTGCACCCAGTTTAATGGCTTTCCCCTCATGCCTTGGGGGGGGGGGTCCTCCACTGGGTGGAGGAAGGAAGCCAGGGTGAGATGGATATTTCCCTCTTCTGTGGCAACCTAGAAGGCAGCCTCTAGGATCTGAGGGTCGACCGCAGCGGGGAGTCTCTGGACCCCTGGGTTGAAGAACGGGGTGTGGATGGAGGTGAATGTTGTTCACGCTCTCTTCGGTACCCTCTCTGATACCACCGTTACCCCTGGATGGCCACTGGAATTCCAAGGTGAAAATGTAGTTCTTCTTCAAAGTTACTACTGCCGGTTGAAGCAAAAATTTGGAACTCCTGGCTATTTATTGCATTAGGAAACAAAACCATTAAAGCGTTGAAGACAGCCCTTTGGTGTCCCTGCCAAGGAGATGAATTTGAATGGCGCAATCCCGGCTGCACTGCAACTTTGGGTTCCTTGCTGAGCTGTACCAGGTCTGCATCAGTCCCTAGGTCCAGATCGGCTGCGCGAGGAGGAACAGTCTGCCCGCGGGCCATGCACATGCGCGGTGAGCTGGCAACAGCGGGCCAGCTGGAGGAGGAGGCTACTCCATGCCGCTCCGCAGGATCTGATTGGCTGCGATCAGCATCACGCTTATGATGAAGGCCATGGCGAAGGCGCATATGAGGCTCTTCCGGACGCAGGTCTGTCTGTTCTGCTTCTGGGAATGCACTGGGGGCGGGGTGAGGCAGAGGACAAGGGGACGTGGAGGCAGGGAGAAAGGAAAGAGAAGAGAGAGAGAACAGGGTGAGACATGGCTTCCTCAAGGGACTGAGCATGACATCCTAGGCAAACTGTGTGACAGGGCAGAAGCTCTCTCACAGACAGCCCGACAGTGTGGGACAAACTTCCAGGTACGGTAAAGCTAGAGTGATGAATGGGGACAGAAAATCTGTAACACTCCAGAATGACTTTTGTACCTGGTATCATCCAGGCCTTGTTGGGTTTGTTTGGGCAGCCAGTGTGGACAGACTTGATGATCCTTCACATCTTTGTGCCCAGCTGGGAGCAGCTTACCTTTCCCGGAGTCATCCTTGGGTACCTGGCATGCTAGTCCAAGTGATGCTAAGCGACTTTTTTTTAAGTACTGGGAATTGAACCCAGGGCCTTCACATTGAGCTACATCCCCAGCCCTTTTTATTTTGAGCCAAGGTGTCACTAAGTTGCTAACTTGCCCAGGCTGGACTTGAACTTGTGATCCTCCTGCCTCAGCTTCCCAGAGTACTGAGATTATAGGCAAGCACCACCACTCCTGGATGACTTCTGACATTTTAGATGCACACACAATGCCTCTAGAGCTGGCTCTCTGGGCCAGCAGCTGACCCAGCACCAGGAATTTAGGAAAAAAGCAGAATCTAACCTGAGCCACTGTGTCCAAGGCTCTGGGGATGGGTCCCTGGGAGCTGGGTTTAACGAGCCCTCCAGCGAAAGTGGTGACCATGGACTACACACAGGGCCCAGGAAAAGATGGATCCCCTAGGTGCAGTGGCCCAAATGGTCTGATCTTGAACTTCCCTGAGATTCCTTCTCTTAATCTTTCTATGACACTATTTCCAGCATGATCATTTTTCTTAGTTGGTTTTGATTTTTAAATTTTAGTTTAGTTTACTAGTACATATGTGTAGTACTGTTGCAGGATTTAAGAGATTGGAGAGACCACTGGGAAACAGGAAAATCTTATTATAGGTTTTAGGTGAACACCAGCTCAGCGGAGTTGAATCCAAAGGAGGAGCTGAGAACAAAGGACAGGTTCCAGTTTTAAACATTCCGTCCAAGGGGTTGGTCTTTTTAGTGATGTAGCAAGCGAGTTTACAGAAGCAGGACAGTTTTGTAATTTAGCCTTGAAAGAAAACAGAGCCTTGTGAATCTTGTGAGAACAAGCTGACATAGACTTTGTTTACAGAACATAGTTGCCAATTTTATCTGTACCAGAACAAGGAGTTATAGCTGGGGGTGGGAATAAGCTGGCCAAGGCTGGAAAAACTTGTTTTCCTTCAAGTCCTGCTTCAGTACATAATGTTTGCATTCCTTGTGTGGAGTTGCTACATGTACCTAAGACATCCTGGTTCCTTTTTTAATCCCCTATCCTTCCCTTGTTCCTCCATCGCTTGACTCTCTTCCCCTTTGAGAAAGATCTATCTCCCTATTTCCTGTTATCTTTTATTTTGCTCTTTACTTTTACTCTGGGTTTCTCATGTAAGAGAAATCATGTGATACTTAGGCTTATGTGTCTGATTTATTTCACTTAACATATGGTCTAGAGGTTTATCCATTTTCTTATGAATAACTCAAGTTTATCCTTCTTTATGGCAGAGTAGTATTCCATTGTAAATACTACATTATCTTTATCCATTCATCTGTTGATGGACATATAGGCCACTTCCAAGATTTAGCTATTACGAATTGTGTTGCTATAAACATGAGTGTGCATGGATCACAGGAATATGATCTCTTTAACTCTTTTGGGAAGATACCTAAAAAGAGAACAGCTGGGTCAAATGGAATTTCTAGTTTCAGGGTTTTGAGGAATCTCCATACTGACTTCCACAGGGACTCTACTAGTTTACATTCTCACCAACAGTGTAGAAGGGTTCCTTTTCCCCCACAGCCTCACCAGCATTTTTTACTATTTGATTTCCTGATGATGATCATTCTTTCTGTGGTAAGAAAAGAATGATCAGTAGCACCATCAGTTTTATAAAGCTCCTGAGAAATCATTCAGAGGTCTCCATCCAAAGACATTCACTAGCGGGTTAGTAATTGGGGCCAGAAACCAGGAAAGGGAAATAATAAAGAAGAGAGATGGTTATGAAGGTCTCTTTTCTAGGCCTTGCCTCTCAGAAGCTCAACTCCTATGTCAGAATTTCTGTTCCTTCACTGCCTCCCCCGGCAAACCTATGGCATGCATGCCACAGTGGGCTGTGTGTATCACTGAAAGCTCTAAAAGGTTCGCTGTCACTGTCTAGGGCATAGCTTGTGTATTTGTGCCTTGGGGGAAGGTGGCATTGAAGCTGTTTATACCCACAGTCCTCACTGGACCTACAGTACCAGGACTGGCTGGAGTTTGGCACAAACGGACGTCTCAGTTCTGCTGCAGAATCACTGAAGATGATCTCTGGGACAGAGGCCCTGCATTTGTATTTTAATAAGCTCTTCAGGGAATTAGGCGATTTCCAGAGGTTTTAATTCAGTAAGCCTGGTGGAGTTTGAGTTGCTGGGGGCAAGAGAGGAGTGTGTGTGTGTGTGTGTGTGTGTGTGTGTGTGTGTGTGTGTGTGGTGTGATTGAAATATACTATAAAGATTTAAAATAATTCGTTGCAGTAAAAGATGCATTGCCATGAATCTCTCTCAAAATACCCGCCCCCCGCCAGCTTCAAACTTATTGCTGCTTTCCAAAGCAATTTTGGAAGTCTTGTGTTGTGAGTATTTTTACAAGGTGTGATCAATATGTGGTGAATGCTGGTGGCCGGTGTCATTCAGTGGAAAAGCAGGCTCATAAAATCATTATCCTTTGTCCTCATCCACCTTATTCACTGGACCTGGCACTGTGCAACTTCTGTCTCTTCCCCAAAGTCAAAATAACCATGAAAATCAAACATTTTGAACTGATTCAGGTCATTGAGACAGCCAGGACAGTACAGTAGGTGCCCGACTTATGAACATTCGAATTGTGAAGCCTCACAGATGTACTGTATGAGACACTTTGTTAGCTTACGAACGAATCAGACTTAGAAGCAATTCTCCTGGAATGGAACTCATTCATGAGTCAGGGACTCACTGTACAATTAAAGACATTCAGGAAAGAGGACATCAGAACTGCTTCCAAAAGTAGCAAGAATGATGGGATAAGTGTGCTCAAATTAAGGTGGAGTATTTAGAAGGGGGTTAATGGCAATATGTCTTTTACTATAATAATTTTTTAAAAATTTAAACATCCATTGTATTTTTTTTTATCACATTGTGTGTGTGTGTGTGTGTGGGAGGGTGTTAGGGTGATGGGGAAGATGATTGATTCTTTCTTTCTTTTTTTTGTTTTTGGTACCAGGGATTGAACTCTGGACCTTGTGCTTGCGAGGCAGGTGGTGGAACCACTGAGCTAAATCCCTGGCCCGATTCTTTCAATTCAGCTATTAAAGAGGTCTGACAAAAGAAAAAGTCAAGGTAGATCCACACGGTTTGGAAAGTACAAAAATGTTCAAGCTCAAGTCCCTCTCTTCCTTGTCATTTAGAGGCTCCTCTAAACCACCCCCTTGGAAATAACCGGAAGAAGTAGGAAGCTGGCCTTATTTCCAAAGCTTTCCCTTAGAGAGGCCCAAATCCTTTTCAAGCAATCTCTAAAAACTGCATACACTGGAAGGCTCTCCCAGAAAGCCACACTTCAGAGAGCCAGCCCCCCAGCCACAGCTCCAGCTCCCTCTGCAAGACCTGTTAGCTATGTCTGCCATCATCTGTAAGTCTTGTCTTGTTATCTTTAATCCTCTGGATCCACTGGACTTTCACTTCCCTTGGGGGATTTAAAGTATTCTGTGGTGCAATTCTGAACTTGCTGATTAGGTGTGAGTATTAAGTTCTTAACTGGAGGAAGAAAATTTCCTCAGTGCAGAGATGGGCCTCTCAGAGGAGTGGGTAAATAGAAAAAGATGCCAACTCCCAGGAAGGAAAAAGGAGATGGTGTTTAAGAAGGAAAGGATGAGGCAGAAAATGAGATGAGGATGTGGAAGTGACAGATCATAATAACACTTTCTGAGGACTGGCTAATGGTTCTGGGCAGCTCGCCTGGATAGAAATGCTTCCGAAAGTGGTTCAGTACCATCCCATCCCAAGGGCTGCTGGGAAGGGTCAAAAAAAGAAAATTGTGTGCCTGGGCTGAGGGAGAAAGTTTCGGCTGAAGCCCTTCTTTGTGAAGGACACTCAGGAAACAAGGTTACAAGCAATAGGATTATCCCCCAGGAGAATGACTGTGCCTTTGATCTAAAAATCCTTCAAAGCAGTGGGAAGGGAGAGATAGAAGCAGGCAGTGCTTGGAGAATCCAGACCCAGGGCCTGGAAACAGGAGGAAGCTGCTAGCTCATTACTTGGGCTTGACAGCTCTGAAATGGACTCTAAATGGACTCTATACGTCAGTCTCTGTGGCTCTGTAAAAGGGGCTAATTAATGACAACTGGTTTTCTTGGAATGATTTCAGAGATCAATCCAAGTGATCCAACCCAAGGGAAAGCCATACCCACTGGAAATCGCTAGAGAAGCGCCAGGTTCAAGCTTGCATCTCCTAAGGGCAGGAGGAGATGCTGATCATTTTTCCTCCCTGTGTGCTGCAGCTTTTAGCCCAGTGCTGAGCTGCTGTAGTCACTCAACCCCCAGCCTTTCTTTCTCCCATCAATTCATGTGGAGCTACAGCAGTGAAACTCACCTTTCAGAGCACTGCTTGGTGTGTGTCACCACATCCTGCATCCCTGCCCGGGGTGCTCCAGCTCCCAAGTGACACAGCAGGGCCTCCGCTCCCACTGATCACTTCTCTCCTCTGTTCCTGGCCCACCCGGCTCGCCTCTCCAGGTCACCTCTGCTCCAGGCCTGCAGGTCCCTGCCTGTGCTCTGCACAAGAGCCCACCACATGGAGCACTGTCCGTGGTCACCCTTCCCATCCTTCTCTGCTGGATATGCCCTCTGAGCTTCTCTTTTCTTCAGTGTCCAGACCAGCCTCCACTTCCCCGTGAAGTTTCTTCCCATATCCTGTCCTCAAAAGGACAGGATATTTTGGTGCTGAGGATTGAATACAGGGGCTCATGCACACAAAGCACACAACTACCCCCAAGCTATACCCCTGGCACCTATTTTTATTTTTAAAAATTAATTAATTTTTAATTTATTTTTGTAACTCCTAATATTTACTTACTTTTAACTGAGATGAAGTTCGCACTTTCATCCTTTTACAGTGTATAATTTAGGAGTATTGAGTATACTTGTAAGTTTGTATAACCATCACCTCTCTCTCTCTCATTCCCTACCTCTCCCCTCCTTTTCTCACTGAGAACTGAACCAAGGGCCTTCCTAGTGAACTATATCCTCAGCCCTTTTTTGAGACCAGATCCTGCTAAATGTGTAAGTTGCCCAGCTTGAGCTTGGACTTTAGATCCTCCTACCTCAGCCTCCCAGAGTGCTGGGGATACAGCTACCTGCAACTACACCCAGTTCACTCATCTATTTTCTGATTCTATGGATTTATCTTTTGTGAGATGCCATAAGAACGGCATCATATAACATGAGGTTTTGTGTCTGGCTACTTTCACTTAGCTGAATGTTTCTGAGGTTCATTCACATCTTAGCATGCACCAGCATTTTCTTTCTTTGTGTTGATAAATAATACTCCATAGAGTATGGATGGATCACATTTATTTATCCATTTATCAGTTTGTAGACATTTGGCTTGTTTCCATGTTTTGGCTACTATGATGCTGTTATGAACATTCACGTATAAGTTTTTTGTGTAGATACATGTTTTAAATTCTTTGGGGTATAATCCTATGAGTCAAATTGTTGGGCCATATGAAAACTACGTCTAACCTTTGGAAAAGCTGAGTCCTTTGTGGGTCTTATTGAACACTATGCTGCTGGTGATTCTGTCTATGAGGCCTGATCAAACAATATAGTAAATGTTTAAATTTTAAAAATTTATACACTAAAAGACACATTGCCGTGAACCCCCCTGCCCCCCCACCCCCAAATACTCCTGTTCGCTTTGAACACACTTGTCCCATTGTTCTTGCCACTTTCCAAAGCAGTTCTGGAAGTCCTCTTTCCTGAGTGTCTTTAAGAGATGTGATCAAAAACACAGTGAATCTGCTGCTGAGTGCCATCCAGTGGAAAGGCAGGATTGTAAAAACATGGCAGTTCTTATCCACCTTATTCACCAGATCTGGCACTGCATGACTTCTGGCTCTTCCCTAAAGTCATAATGACCAGGAATGGTAAATGTTTTAAATAGATTCCACAACAGTGCAACTAAAGACATGAAGGAGGACTTCCAGAACTGCTTCAGAAAATGACGAGAACAATGAGATGAATGTGTTTGACAGCAATTTGAGAATTAATGGTGATGTGTTTTTTACTGTAATACATTGAAAAAATATATAAACATTAACTGTAGTTCCTGATCACACCTGGTATGTCCATCTTCCCATCAGGTCTTGAGTTGAATGGAGCCCTCTTTCTAGCACAGATCTTGACAGATGGGTCCCCGAAAGAATTTGGGGAGAATGTGACTGGGGAGGCTGACGCAGGAAGACAGTGAAGTGGGGCCTTCTGTTTTCCTAAAAATTCCAGAAATCTTGTTAGGTCCTGTGGCTGCCTTGGCAGGCCCTGGGTGTGTAGCTCTAGTGACAGACTGCCTTTCCCCTTCTTATTTTAACAGCAATTCGCACTGCTCCGCTCGGAAGTGACAGGCAGTGGCTCTTGGATTTACTCCTGGAGATGCACAGACTTGGCCACAGCCGGGTAACCTGAACACCATGGATCAGAATCTCTCCAGCCTCAATCTAGATATTTGCACTCTGGGCTGTAGGTCTTGGGGAGCACTGGCTTCCCAAGGAGGCAAATCAGAACCCTAACAATTCTGATTTGATGCCCCACTACAGATCTAGTGAAGTGATATTTTTGGCAGGAATTTCAGGGCACAAGAATGTTAAAAAACAACAAAATTTCAGTAGTAGTGTCAGCTCAGGTGATTCTCACAATAAGCCAGAGCTACCGGCTTTGGGAGGGATTGTCGTTCTATGCTCCTCCCAGGCCTAACATTGTATAGATCTATGAATTTGGCTATTTACATAGTATAAATGGAATTAAGAGCCTTTGAAATGAAATTTTCTGTATCTCAATGGACTCAAAAGTGCCCAAGGAAGACCTGAAGGTAGAAATGGAGGATGTGACCTCTAAAGGTATAGAGTGAGGTTGGTGTCTTTTATGATGCTCTTGTTAAGAGGAAGAGGGGCCATTTCACCTGTCTGGTAGGGGAGCCTGTCCCTTTTCCATAACAAAATCTCATGTCCCTTGCTTCAGGTTTGCAGGACATCACACAGCTGTGCTTTGCAGACCTGTGGTGTAGGGGCAGGCCTTGCCTTTTGTGTCCTTCTCATAACAAAAAGCCTCTTTGTTTTTGGGATCTGGAGCTCTTCATCTAGCAGGACTCTCAATCCAAGACTTGACCTTTTCCACCACCATAAGCCAGAGTGGCCAGGAAGAGTCTCCTCAGCTCTTGGCTTCTCTGGGGTAGGCACAGGAGCCAGGCCTGTGCTATTAGAGCCCTTCTAGGGATAGGGATGAATCCTGGGAAAGAGAATCCTATTACCTCTTAAAGTTGTCCAAGAATGAAGCCAACAGAGAGAAAAGAAGGGCAGTCAGAGTAAGAAAGGAAGCAAAAGAGGGAGAGGAAGAGGGAGAGGGAGAGGGAGGGAGAGAGAGCATATGTATATGTTCTTGAGCTCTCCCGGAAGTACATCCTTTTGACTTCCCCTATTATTTGAGCCTGGGCTTTTTAGTTTCAGGAGTCTAGGTTTGCTTTCTCTTTCATGTAACCAGAAGACCCCTGATGAATTCCCTTGGTCACCCCAATGGTGACAGTGATTTGACTTCAGGAGTGAAGGTATGAAGAGGAAGGCTCATCCCTCTGGGTTTGTGTTTGGACCCTGGCCCAGAAGCCTAGATTTCCCGCGGTATGTACTCAAGGACAGGGTTTCTGAGTCAAAAATAAAAGGCCAGCTTGGGACTAGCTGGACTTTGTTTTTCCTTAGTTTTGAGTGCTGACTGGTATGTAGAGCTTTGTAAGACATATTTGCCTGTGTGACCTCATTTAATCCTCATAACAGCCCTGCGGGGCAGCTCATGTTGTTTAGAGATGAAGAAATGAGCCTTTCATTATGGCAGTGCCTTATGCAAGTGGACAGAGTGGCACAGAACATTAAGCCAGGCTGGTCCTTGCTCAACTCTGCTTCTGCGTATTGATCAACAACAGCTCTCTGGCCTCTCCCTGGTGGGTTAGAATCTACTCACCCCTCAGACAACTTTCCTTCCTGTTTGCAGTGAAGAATTTCTAGAAGAAGAACATTCTTTTTTTGGCTGACATCCCAAATCTCCTCAAAAATGGTCTCCTGTGTCCCACTGGCCACTGGCCTTAGCTGCTCCTTCACCTCTCACATTTACCCAAGGGGATGGGTGTATTTCAGGAAAGTCACAGCACAGGTGAGCTGGGAGCAGATGGCTCAGGTGACATATTGCGCCCTTCTCATTTGGATGGGCATGAGATGCCCAGGGTGCATGGTCAGGTGACAGGACAGATCTTGCCATCCAAGTGTGCACCTGGTTTCCTGACGGGAATGCAGTGACATCAGCGGGGATGCCTGAACTGGGGACCTTGGATGTGGCCTCAGAATTCTTTCTGACCTTCCCTGAGCTCAGAAGTTTTAGCACTTAGATGTGACCATCACTGTCTAACCTTTGCACTGGTTACATAAGAAAAATAGGGCTCAGAGAGGTGAAATAACATCTGCCGGGTCACACAGCCAGAGGGCACAGAGCTGGGATGAGATGCACACACTGTACAGACATCTTTCTGGTCCTGGCCCATGTTACTCCCTGGATGTTTGTTTCTTTTGTTCATCACATACAGCCACCGAGTAGCATGGAATAGCTCCACCACGGCTTTCATGGAAACTATTTATTCCCTGGGTGATGATTTTGCTTTACTTCCTCCTCCTGTGCAAGTTGTCAGAATGTGTAGAAAGATCTGACAGCTGGCATTCCATTTAGGGACAACACTGGGGGGCTGTGTCTCCAGAGGGCTCTCTCACACAGTCTTACAGTTCGCCTTAACTTCCAAATATAATATGACTTCATTGGCAACAAAATAAAAAACAAGTAAGGGCGGTGAAATGCCACCTCGTATGGAGACCCTAAAATGCCTAAGCCCAAGCCAATGACCATGCTGACAAATGAAGAGGTCCGAGTAGGGCTTGGTCTGATAGACCTGGGCCCAGGTCTTTAACTGTGATCTGACTTTTGACACACTGCATCCTGCTGAACCTCAGTTTGCTCTTCTGTAACCACCAGGGCAGCAGAATTTGTCCCTCAAGACAGGGATTAGCTGGATGTGGTGTTGCATCCCTGTAATCCCAGCTCTCTGGGAGGCTGAGTCAGGAGATTGCAAGTTTGAGCCTGGCCTGTGCAAATTAGCAGTTTAGAGGAACCCTGTCTCAAAATAAAAAATTTAAAAAGAGTTGGGAATGTAACTGAGTGCACAGGCTCTAAGTTCTATTTCCAGTACTAGGGAGAAAGAGGCAGAGGCAGAGAGAGAGACCAGAGAGACAGAGAGAGACATAGAGAAAAGACAGGGCTGAAGAGTCAGTCCTACGTGTTAACAAATGACCAACCCTGACAGGCATCCTGGACAGTTTTTTCTAGCCTTTTCTCCTGGAGTGTAAGGAAAAGCAAAAGCCACATTTGAAGCAAGCAGTCCCAAGCTTAATGTGTAGTACATTCTGTCATAAGAACACTTAATAGGGATCCAGTAACGGATGGATCCGGTGGTTCAACCACATGACCCCCTCAGTCCATATATACAAGCAACTGGAACCCAATAATAAAATACAAATTTGCCTGCCAGTACATTGAACTGATGTTCTCCAAAAACAAAATATCTGGTGACTGAAAGTGATGTTAAACTGTCCTACTGAATGTGGATGGTGAGTAGATATTGCGGGTACACACATAGTCTAGTGCCTGACCCATTATGGTGAACACTGCTTTATTTTTCCAAATAATTAGGACATAAAAATTTGCAATGAATGTTAAAGTAGATTGAGCACAATTCATTTTTTTTTAAATTCAGAAAGATCTGAGGGGCTGGAAGTTCCTGAGAGTCAAACTTTCATAAAAAAATTTTTATTAGTATATGTTTGTGATACATAATAAACATATTCATGGTGGAGGATTGGTGTATATGCCTAATACATCGTGGTCCTTTTTTACTTCCCCTTCTCCCCTCCCTCTCATCCCTTCCCACCTCCACAAAGCCTTCCTCCCTGTTTTCTATCACCTGTCTTTTCTTTTGTCTTCTGAATTACTTATACTTTGGGTTTTTCATATAAGAGAGTCCATGTGATATTTAACTTTCTGTGTCTGCTTTATTTCACTTAGTGTTATGGTCTCAGAGTGCATCCCTTTTGTTACAAATGTCCCAAACATTTCCTTCTTCATGGGTGAGCAGTAGCTGTGAGGCACATACTCTCATGGTTGGCACATATTTACAGGTTCCTAACTCATAGGTGGTATCAGAGTCCTTGGGTTCAGTGGAATGAAGCCCAGCACAGTGTTAGCACCTGATTGAATCGGAATGATTTCCTGCCTGGCTTCCAGGTAGCAATGAGAACCCTGGTTTAGGGTCTTTTGGTCTCCTCCCTGCCTTCATATGGATTTCTGGAGGGGTTGTCTTTTAGGGCTCTAGAAAAATAGGTTCTACAAGGAATATGGGCCTCTGAGTGAGGATTTCAGAGGAAGCCAGGAAGGTGTGCCTTCCTTCTGGCTGGGAATTTCACTCCACTTCCTCCTGTCCTTTCCTTGGGAGAGACAGAAAAACTATGTAAAGGCAAGGAAATACGTAACGGCCTCTGTGTGTGTGTTGACCTAAAAAAAACAAGGATAAAAAATTGAAACCAAAACAAAAACTAAAAGGTGGACTTCAAAACAAAAATGGTTCCCATCAAAATTATCACAGCCTATGGACTCGTGGTCTGTTTTATTCCTCTATTCTTTATTCTTCCATGCATGTAGAAGGAATTTGGATATTTTCCCCCTTCGTGAACAGAATCTGAACACTTTTGGACAAAAGTATTAGATTCTCCCTTCTCTCTCCTCAGTCATCTGGGTTTGGGAGGATTTGATTTGAAGACAAAAGAGTTTCCTACTTGACAACTATAAAGGCAAACGCCTGTCCCTTCAGAATTAGATGCTGGATTTGCTGAAACCTGGGGTACAGAAGGCAGAGAAGGTGTGTGTGGCAGAGGGCATGGCCAGGGTGGTGGACACGGCCTGCAGCTTGGGAAGGGGGAGAGAGGGAGGAAGGAGTTGATGGCTTGGGGGATGGGAAGCCCTCAAGGATTCCAGGCTGAGAGGAAGAGAGAGGACTTAGGAGGCAAGGAAGGTGCAACCGCAGTTAGGGTGGGATGGGGGGAGTGGAGGGTTCCAGTCCCTAGGAGGGCCCTGCTTGTGTGGGAGCAAGATGGCTTGTTGTCAGGCACAAGGTCTTGCATGGCTCCGTCAGTCCTTAGGTGCGAGGGACAGGGCCACGTAGTCATCCCTTCCTGAACAGCTCTGCCCAGAACACCACCTCAAGGTCCTTTCTTGAATGCAGAGGGGGCCTGGCTACTAAGTCCATGCACCCATGACATTGATCATATCCAAGAACTGACATTCTTAAGCCTAAACGTGAACCAAACAGCTTGTGTTTGGGTCCAAACTGTGCTGATGTAATTTTTTTTTTAATTTCTCTGACATTATACAGAAGGATGAATTCAAGTCATTTGGAGGAAAACAGATGGATCTTGAGACCATAACGTTAATGAAATAAGTCAGACGCAGAAAGTTAAATATTGCATGGTTTCTCTCACATGAAAAACCCAATTATAAATAATTTAAAGAGTAAAATAAAGGCTGATTTTGTTGGAGTAGGGAAAGGGGATCAGGGGAAAAAGAGAGAGGGGAAAGTATAAAAATATATATATCCCCAAATAATATATATATTATCCATTGCAAATACATACCGATAAAAATAAATAAATGTAAGTTAATTGAGATTAAAGAAAACATTTCTCTGACATGAAAATATGCAAAAGTGGTCATGAGAAAAAATAGTGAGCTAACTACAAAATAATGTACCTTTCACTGAATCAGAAAATGACTTTTGGCATTTACTTCTCACCCCGCAAATGGCAGGTATTGCCATTGTCTTAAGTACTAACCAATAAAGCAGACCCAGTAAGACTTCTCTTAGGAAGTCCCTTTGTCAGGATTTTATTGTATTAATATATGAGTTTCTGAGTAATAAAAAGGCACAGCTTGGAATTTAGATTACTTTCCTGTGTAGCGTGACCTTTCCCAGATTACTAAGGCGGGTGACATTTCTCTGAAGGAAACACTGATCCACAAACAAAGGCTCTTGTGGAAAACAAGATGCCCAGAAACCCGCCCCTTCCATCTCAGATTGTGGGAAGCTACAGCCCCAAATGCCCTTGACGCAGGAGCACGCATTCCATCAGGAATCGGGAGCCAGGCCTGGTGCTTTCCCAAGGTTTCCTCTAAGCCCCGCCCTCTTCACCCCCTCTTCCTCCCACACCCCCTGATGTCCAGCCACAGATGGTGTCTGCTGTGACACTCTGACCCTGCCCTTGCAGGACATTTAAGGCTTCAACTCCAAACACATGGGTGCTACAGCCCAGGTGCCTCGGCAGGGAGAGCCGAGCAGCTTCTAGAATTCAACTGGGTTTCATCTGATGTCACGGCCCTGATGCAGTCACTGTCCTGCCCAAGTGGCTCCCAAGGGAGCCCGAATGAGCCTAGGTGGCAGTGGGGCCCCTGGATGAGCTCAGCACTTCGCTGCCTCCCTGCCATGGCACTTGGCTGGGTCTTACGCAGGAGCTCAGGATCAAGTGACCAAATGCCATCTGCCCTCTCTGGGACAGTGTCTCCACTGTGTCTCCTGACTTGTTTAAGTGTTCATAAAAAAAGAAAAGAAAAGAATAGTTTTATCTCTTTAAGTAAAGTCTCAGCATTGAACCAGGATAAAAATTGCCCACAGCCTGTTATGATGTTTTAATGTGATTATATAAAAAAAAATTTGTCCCTATCCATCAGAGCTGTTAAACCAACTCTGATTTTCAAGGGTGGGAAGAAGGATTAAATTATTTAGCTTCCTGGGGACTCTCAATTGATTAGGACAGAAGGTAGACTTTTGTCCTTTTTAGTTTTCTTCCATAATCCCAAGAAAACTGGCCTTTCATGAGTCTCTTTTTTGACCTCAGTAGAAACTTATTTCTCTCTGTAACTACTTGGTTAAGTTCATGAAAGGACTTCATCCCTGGGCCCTTTTCAGTCTGTGCATTCGGAGAGCCCAGAGGTTATCCACTCCCAAAGAGTCTGTGGCATCAGTGTAATTATCCTGGTGCTTGCAGATGAGGAGGCACGGGGTAGGTCCCCCTCTTGGCTAAGGTCACACAATTAGCCAGTGGACTTGCTCCAAATTTGCTGACAGCCTCCACAGACTCCTTCCACCACCCTGCACTGCCAGCCTCCACTTCCGCAGCATGCAGCCAAAGACCACAGCCAATCTCTGACCCTGGAGTCATTAGAGGAAGTTCAGGGTCAGTGGGAATTCTGCAATAATGCAGAGTATGGGAGAAAAAAAAAAGAATAAAAGAAATCCACTGAATCTTGGCAGAAGAGACCTTTTAGCTCAGTCCCGGATTTTTGGCTTTAGTGCAAACCTGTTTCCACACAGGAGACTGTAAACACATTCTCCACCCCAGCCAGCGGAGGCACGGGCCTGTCTCCGTCCCTGCCCAGGACACGGGGCACCTACCTCCTTCGAACTCTGTTTGGCAGTTCCCCGAGGTTTCATTCAGGCTCTCCTCCTCGTTGATGATGATGTTCTCAATGTCCTTCATTGTTAAATGATCCCGGAAGGCATGGTAGAGAATGTGCTTCAGCTCTTCCAGCGTTATCCTCTGCATGTCGAACTGTGGAGAGAAAGAAGAGTGAGAGGACCACAGGAACAGCAGTGTGGACACTCAGCTCGGGCATGACCGGCAAGCCCTAGAGCACCTCCCAGGAGACTGGGATCTGCTTTTTAGGGTATCAGATGAGCAGTTTCCATCCTGTTCAGCTCGGAGCATATTTGCGAACTTGGAGGGCCATATTGGGAATACAGTGAGTGGAACATAGCCCCCTCAATTTAGACTCTTGGAGCAAAAATGCCACCTGCTCGTTTGGTTTTCTACTCATCCGGCCATCTGCTGTCAACCCTCCACGTCTCATGGACTTCAGAGTTGTGTCACACTTCAGACAATGCATATGTTTCTCAAAATTTTATCATCTTCCAAGAAATCAGCACTTTCTGTCTTGTCTGAAGTATCGAGGTGCTGTATGGTTGGGGGTTTGGTCCCCTAGGGCTTCCTGTGTTGGAGGCTTGGTGCTTAGCTTGCCCATATTGGGAGGTGGCAGAACTTCTGAGAGGTGAGGCTTAGGGGATGGTGGTGAGGTCATTGAGGGTCCTGCCCCTGGAAGTGACTAAGCAGTTCTCACGGGACTCCACTTAGTGGTTGCGAGTGGGAGTTTGTACAGAAGTGTGAGCCTGACCCCTGCTCTCCTGTCCCCCCATGTCATTTCTGCTGCATGCACTTGGACCACTGTTATGACATCTGCCATGGAGCCCTCACCAGGGTATAGCAGAAGCCGGCTCCAAGCTCTTTCACCTCCAGAATCATGAGCTAAGTGAATCTCTTTTCTTCACAAAATATCCAGCCTTGGGTATTTTGTTATAGCAATGGAAAATGGACTGACATAGTATCGAAGTATGTGTTTTGTTCCAATACCCTTATCAGTTAAAACCCAAGTTCAAGGCCATGTTTCTGAACAAAAGCAGTGAAGAGGAGGTGTGGAATTCTCTATTCTATCTGGTCTCTCTCAGGGATAGGATTATGCTTTCTCACTCCATTTAAATCAGGTCTGGAGATGTCACCCACTCAGCTGGTGATATGTAAGTGGAAATCACACAAGCCATATCCAATTAAAAGCTTTAAGAGTCATTGTGTGGTTCTATCATTTGTTCTTTTTGCTCTGCTGGGAGAATAACATGTCCCAAAGAGAGAGACTATTCTTTCAGACTACGTCTCAGAATGGCAATAAAGTATAGTAGAAACACAGCCATCCCATAAAAGACAAAGATTATGAATAAGAAGTGCCCTTTATTGTTATTATCAACAGAAGTTGGGGGCCTGTTTGCTACTGCAGCATAACTTAGTCCTCGGATGAAGTCAACAAGACAGAAATTGGTACATTAAAGTAAAATACCACAGCAAAAATTCTGTAATCTGATGCTTGGCCATGCAGTGGAAACAACAACAAAATGTTACTGGAGGCTGGAAAGATGGGAGAGCTTATGGTAAAACTGCTGCCTATGATAACTTGGAGGACAGATATCTTGATTGTGAGCTTGTGGTTTTGAGTAAAAAATTTGGGAACTAGCATGTTGTGGTTGCAATTATTTGCATCCATAACTATTGCATCTTGGAGCATCTGAGATGAGCTCAGGAAAGAACTGGTTGGTTGGCAAGCTAGTAATAAAGACAACCCAGAAATTCCTGGTCCTGTGGGGTTGAAAGAAGTATTTCTCATATTCCAGTAGTAAGAGATAAAACCAACAAATTTTTAAAATGACAATATTGTTTATTAAAACAAAATGTCCCTTGTCAAAACTTCTGGATATGTTAAGCCATTCTTATATTCAGAGAGATGTAGGATTCAAAATAGATTGTGGATGTGGTCATTGGCATAAACTGACTGGAGTCAGATAAAGATATAACTACATTCTTGAGAGAGCTGTGGTGACCAGGAGCCAACAGCTCTGGATGAAAAGATACAACGACAGCATTCAGAAGTAAGAGTGAGCCCAGTGTGATGGCACACGTCTAAAATCCCCGCACTCTGGGAGGCTGAAGCAGGAGGATCATAAATTCTAGGCCAACCTGGGCTACAGAGTGACTTAGTGAGACCCTGTCTCAAAATAAAAATAAATAAAAAGGTTAGAGGTATAGTTCAGTGTGGAGGCCCTGGGTTCAATGCCAAGTACCACTAACAACAACAACAACAAATCCCCAAAACAGCAACAATGAATTAAAATGATCTTTGGACTTCCCAGCCTATAGGCACAAGCAAATATGAGGCTAAGCTACACTGGTCCCAAGAAGGGCATATTTCCCAATGCCCTTCTCAGATAAATATAAGAAGAAGAGTGGGAAAGAACCAATCTCCCTGTGTGGGGGGCAGGAATCATGGCGACCAATAAAAATCAAGTGCAAATTCCAGAAAGCAAAACTAGGACCTAACCAAGGAAAACTCTCCATGCCAAAGACTGTCCACTGGGATTTCAGAATTGCTCTGAGGCTCTGACTGTTAAGTGTCCCCCCACCTTTTGCTTTCTGGACAGGAATATTTTAGGCATTTTTTACTTAACCCTTGCCCACCACCATATTTTGAGTGTGTGTGTGAGTGTGTGTTTGGGAGTAGATACTTTGTCCTTTTAGTTCCTGTGTCTCCAAGTAGAGAGGCATCACACTTCAGTTTGATGTCTTATGAGTTCTTGAATCTGATGCTGTTAGGGGCCTTTTGGGGTATCTCCCTTTGGGGGAGGATAAGAGTATTTTGTGGCTAAGAGAAGGTGCTGTGGTTCCCATGTAGTTGGGCCTCTGGACTTTATGTGCTGGAAGCTTCACCCCCACCGTGGCAATTCTGATTGGTGAAGAAACCTTTAAGAGCTGGGGCTTAGTGCAAGGCAATTAGGTTGTACGCACACTGCCCTTGGAAGGGGTTAATGCTGGTCTCACCCTGTGAGTTAGCTCTCATGGAGGCAGCCTGTTACTAAGCAAGGAATGCCACATGCTTGGCCCCTTCTGCCTGTGGCCAGTTTCCTTTCCATTTCTCTACCATGTTGTGATCCAGCCCAGTGGGCCCTCACCAGAGGCTGAGCAGGTAAAATGACCTGATCCAGGACTTCCAGCCTCCAAAATTGTGAGTTAAATAAATCTCTTCTAAGTACCTAGGCCTAAGTATTTTGTTAAGTGACGTGTACTAATACAGAGAGAAATTCATTTATGAGCCAGAGTGTGGACTGTAACAGGCTGTATTATTTCCAGTTATTTGTTTCATTTCCCTGTGAAAGGAGTATAAAAATACAGTGAATGTTTAAATTAAAACTGGATGACAGTAAGACATCATTAATCCCCCTCCAAATATTCTCACAGGCTTGGAACACACTTACCCCATCATTCTTGCCACATTCTGAAGCAGTTCTGGAAGTCTTCTCTCCTGAGTGTCTTTATAAGGTATGATAAAAAAATATGGTGAATGCTACTACCAAGTGCCATTCAACAGAAAGGTGGGCTCCTAAAAATTCGACTGTGTGTCTCCATCAACCTTATTCGCCAGATCTGGTACCTTGTGAATTCTGGCTCTTCCCCAAAGTCAAAAGAATTATGAAAGGGAAAGATTTTGAATGGATTCAGGATGTTGAGGCAGCCATGACAGTGCAACTAAAGACACTCACAAAAGAGGACTTCCAGAGCTGCTCCAGTAAGTGTCAAGAAAGATGGGATAAGTGTGTTCAAAGTGAGGGGAAGTATTTTGAGAGAGATTAATAGCAATGTGTCTTTTACTCTCATATATTTAACAAAATTTAAGACTGACCATATTTTTTAAATCACATCTCCCTTCTTATTGACACCAGGCTTTGGCCCATTAAACATGAGATAGGAAATCAATGAGAGTCTGAAGAGATGCTTCACAGCCACTGTGTATTTTGCCTTTTTTTTTTCTTCTACCACAAAACAGTTATACCATATAGGGGCCACCCCCTCCATCCTAAGTCTTTGATTAACTATTACACAAGCAGACTCTTGGCCAGTCTACAAAGATTTGAATGAGAGATAAACCCCTGCTGTTAGCCACTAAGACTTCGGTCTTTCTTTAGTATAGCATAGCCAAGGATGAACACAGAAATCAATGGTTGTAAGTTATTCTGGAAGATGATGAAAGAAAATCTGAGACATTTTTATTTTCCTGCTTTCTTCATAATCAATTCCTTCCTTGCTTTGAGTATGCATCTTGTTCTAAGAAATTAAACTGGGTTACTGAAACTTGCTGGAAAATCTAAAAGATTCAAGTTCAAAGCCACTAATATGACTAAGAGCAACTGAAGAGGAGGTATAAAGTAGATTTGCTTTCTGCATTACAGTTTAATGGCCATGCAAGTAAATTTTGACACACACTGAGGTACAATTAATCCATAGGGCAATCTCCAATATATGCATAAATATAAATATAAATAAATATAGCTAAGTGTGAGTCTGGTTGTAGGGAGAAGGCTGGCAAAATACAAAGAGTAGTGATTCAGAGATAAGAAAACTGATTGCCCCAGCCATGAGCAAACATGGAGAGTGTTAAGATATAAGAGACCCTTCGAGAAAATGAGCATCCATTTCCTGGAAGACCAATCAAAGAGCTGGAGCTCCTAGAAAATCTCAAAACAATGGAGAGCTTGCTCTAACTCTGAAATTAGGCAAAAAGATTGGCCAGAGCCTGTGAGAAGAGAGGAAAAGGTACAGATTACAGAAATCTACAGTGTTGGCTCTTTGGGTCATGTTTTCCTCTTGGGATTTGGATATCTGAACAAAATTATTTAAGCAACAGTCCATATGTCTTCTACATTGTCAGAATAGCTGCTCCTTAAAAGTCTGAAAGAAATCATTGTAAAACATGAACACAGTGCCAAGCTTTCTTCCATGATTATTGGTCCATTTAGCTTTGAAACATTTTTTGAGTCACTTTTGGAACTTATTTTCAAAAACCAGCTACAATGTTTTCATTATTATTAGCCTATAAATATATCCCATTTCTTATCATTTCATTTGTGGTTCTTTTTTCTAGTTTTACTTTTTGTCTTTCTTTCCCCCTGTTTTTACTG